GGACACAGGCAGGAGCAGGCGCTACAGCAGGAAAACCATCACATGGTTGGCAGCACAGTAAGTCCTTGTGCAGAGCAAGCACTGCTGAGCTCGCAGAAGGCACCATGGCCATATCGGCTGACAGTGTGTGGGACTGGCTGGACCCACAGACCACGGACTGCAGAGCTGGGCACAGGCAGGCTGTCAGGTTGTTTAGATTTGCATCTGGTTTGCTTTTTTCTAGTAGCTGATAGTTACTGAAGTTGATTCCTGAAAGTGAAATTATTTCTTCAAGAAGGGAGGGTTGCTTAGGTTCTTGCACCCTCCTGCAAGGCTTCTATTCCTGAGCTCTGAGCAGGACTGAACACTGTTTTATCAGGACAATTTCTAATCTCTAAAATAGCATTTGAGTTTTCAGTTACAAAATCTGGAAAAGGAAATTGTTGAGTACTTGATTTTGATATACAACATAAGAGAATTCCTTATTTATGTCTTGATTGGATATCTTGGAGAAAACTCTGTCGCTCCCAAATTGAAATTCTGTTCAAATACTTTGATTAATTATTTCTCAGAGTGACTTTTGGCAGTTGCTAAGCATGAAGAATTAAATCTTCTCTTCTAAGCTCTGTCAGAAACACACCATTTTAGAGCCACCATCAAAAATTGACAAAGCATTAAAGCAGCAGCCTGCTACTGCTGGGCCTGACTGCTAATTAGGAGAGCAGAGGACCGTTCTCAATATCACCCCTGAGGCTCCCTGAGCAGACTCAAGAAATATCACAGGTTTCTCAGCACAGCCCATGGCCATGGTGGAGGATTGACGTATATCTTCAGATGTAAAATCTGTTAATTTCTTCTACAGAAGCCACTGTTACAGAACTGAAGTCTTTCTTTTCCTCTGTAACCAGTGAAAAGATTGTTACACTGGAAAAAGGCATCAATTTTGCATAAAAGTATCCAAGCTGAAATGTATTTCTGTAGCCAGGTACTGTGTGGAGGATGAAGGTTTGGAGAGAGTATTCCAGGTCTTTTTTCTGAAGTGCAGATATTGCCATTGAAAACACTCTCTGACTTTATCACTGCTTTACAGCTCCATCATCCACTGCTATGTGTAGGTCTGGGAAGGCAGCTGGTGCCTGCTGCAGACTCAGTATCCATCACCCTTTGCTCCGCAGGTCATAGAACCATAGAACGGTTTCAGTTGGAAGGGACCTTAGAGATCATCAGGTTCCAGCCCCCTGCCATGGGCACAAACACCTTCCGCTAGACCAGGATGCTCCAAGCCGCATACAACCTGGCCTTGAACACTGCCAGGGATGGGGCAGCCGCAGCTTCTCTGGGCAACCTGTGACAGTGCCTCACCTTACTCGTACTGAAGAACTTCTTCCTGATACCTAACCTAATTTAATGCTGCCATAGGGTGCAGAGATCAGAAACAGAAAAGCTGCCTGAAGACTGGCAACACAATTTCTCTGCCCAGAAATATTTGATTAGGCAAATACACTTCAGCAAGTTAAAGTGACTTAAATCATTCAAATGCCTGTATGTTCTACCTTGCTTGTTTTATTATTGGCTCATAAGGAGAGAGCATTGGTATGTTAAATGTATCCCAAGCCAATAAAGAAAAAAAACTCCATTCACTACAGCCTGAATGACTTTGATTTATGAATCTCTGATTCATCCTGACAGCTACTGAAAAATTCTTGTAAAACTGCATTAATCTTGGCCAGAAAAAGAGAAGAAATGCGTTCGGTAACAAGTGCCACACAATACAGTTACTATTGTGGGTATGCTTAATGAAAGGCATCTTTAGTGTTTGACTCACCAGGGAAGCAACAGTAGGTATTGCCGCATATTTTCTCATTTCTTAAGTCTGTTAAACAAATGTGTACCTGGGTGTAGAAATGCATCTCTAACATTGATGTCTCATTACCTTATTTCCCTTCTTTAATGTGTATAGTTTTCGTGTTTCATATAGTTTCAAGCATACAGAGCTTCTGTGTCATGAGATACTGAAAATGAGTAATACAAACATTTTGTTGTATAAAAGAGGAAAGAGAAATAAATTACTTTCATTACTAAGTAAATTACTTTCATTATTATTATTTTATTCCCAATATGGAGCATATTTGAGATCAAAAACTTAGCTTAATGACTTGATTGATCAAATAGCATTCTCTATAGTGCCTTGAAGAAATTATCATAAACTCAATAAAATGTAAGAAAAAAAATCCAAACTTGATTATTATTTGCTGCAGATTTGGTTATTTTTTTTTTCCAAGAATGCTTCATTGCAAATAGCAATGTTTTCCAAGAAAATAACTACACAGTCTGAAATTTGAATATATTAAGGGTTTGAATAAATAAAGGCAGCTGCCTTCCTCTTGCAATAGCTACTTTGCAGCTCTGAATGCAGTTTTGCTTAGCATATATCCATGGCAATTTACTTAATATCTTGTGGTTTTTTAAACTATCTTAAAGGCCCTAGGCCCAAGGTGGCAGCAGGCCATCCTAGCAGAGAGATGTAAAGAGGAGAGATCAGAACAGGGAATTGTACAGCTGTGCTCCTGTTCAAAACCAGATATTTCCACTGTGAATCAAAGCCAGAAAGCTGTGCTGTAGCTTAATCAGAAAGGGCAGGTGATTGAAAAAAGGAATGAGGTTAAATTTGTTCAGGAGATCACTTTTTTTTTTCCCCCTCTTTTTCATTACTTTTCCATTAAAGAAAGATAGGACATTACTGTGGGTGCTTGTTTTGTTATTACAAAAATATTAATTTTATAATTGAACAATGGAATGTGTTTCTGTATTTGCAATGTGTCATACATATCTGGCCTGAGCCCTTTATTTACAGCTCTCCAAAAGCATACTAAGCTATACTGAGTTGAATTAAACATAATTAAACAAACTGATAAGATTTTAAAAGACATTTAAGATTGAAGATAATTGAAAAGTTAAAATACTTTACCTATATTTTCAACTGAAAATGTTTCTGTCTGTATCTCCCATTTTTATAGGCATTCATATACGTACCTGAAATTGTACATCCCACATTGTACTGATGATGTTAGAGGTCACTGGAAAAGTGAATAGGTCAAAATTGTGGCTTTTGGGAGGAATTGATGAAATTAATGTCAGTGTTTTCAGCTGTGAGATTTTTCACTAAAGGTTCTCTTTTGCTGTGTGTGAGGTGGTTGCTTTGGTTTTCTCATAGAGTGATGTTATAGTATTTATTTTCTTAAAAGAAAGCAAAGAGAACAAAGGCAGGCATGTGGACAGCTAAGCACTGCTCCAGAGAATTTGTCTTATTGACTGCAGGAAAATTACTGGCATGGCACCAGTGCCCTACTCAGCCACTTTGAGACATAGCAAATTTTCCCTATGCTATTAGGGTAATGCTTGCATTAGCCTTTTGTAATAAGCAGGGGCCAGAAGAGTTGCAAAGGTAGATTTCTCTTGGCTGCTGAAGGTGGGCTCTTACTAGACAAATAAAGGGAAATAGCTGAAAATTATTAATGCTTTATAGAGGAGTACGAGCAGAAAGTTTAAGTTTCCTATCATGGATACCTAAAAGTCTTGACTCAGCCAAACTATTGATTTCCTCCTATTCACTGACTGGCCTGTTCATAATCAGGCAAGTGTTATGATGGAAAGTCTCACAAGAGGAAGCGTGGTGGTGGTTGCACTTCTATTCCAAGACCTGAGAGAGGGGGGCTCAGTTTCCAACTTTGCAGCAGGTTTGATGTGCAAATAGCCACAGTCTGCCACAGCAATTTCAGTACCTCAGATTGATCCAGGCACCCAGCAGAATTTGATAGTTTCCACCACAGTTAGCATTTTCCACTGAAAATATATCTGAAACCCTGCTAGACACCTCCTGGACTTTAGCATCCCTTTGAAAATAGGATTCATGACCCCCAGGGTTTTTTCAGTGGTGAAATGTCTGGGCTGGAGCATGAGGACCAGGTCATAGTCCTGCCCCAGTGAAGCTCGGGTTGGATATCAGCTTGGAGGGGGATGCTGCTTAAAAACACAAGTTACCCTCTCATATCTCCATTCACAGCCAAGCAATCCCTTCCCACCTCCATGAATGTTCAAAGGTGGGCAGCACTTTGTCCTGCCACAGTCAAAATACAGGTAGCTGGGGGGGTGGCAATGTGCTGGCTCATTTCCTGGGATTTCAGCTGGAACTCTGAAACCCCACCTCAGCATTGTCCCTGGCTTCAGACACCCCCAGTTTCTACCTTTCTTTCTAAATGCCAGTTCGCGATCATTTCATATGCTGTTGCTTCTGGCATGTTTCTACAGAAAATACATCCTGTTTGTCCTTAGCCACTTAATACAGTTCAGGATCTGACTACTGCAAAACAGAGCTTAGTTGTAAAAATTGTCTACATACTTGTCTTGAGAAGTGGAAAGAATAACCCTAATAGTAAGCCATAAAGTGATAGTTTAAAGGCTGTGAGGAGCACCTGGTGGCACAAGGCAGCGGGTGAGCTGGGAACATGTCAAGCTGCTTGTGTCCCTGCAGTCATCTCCCATTGCCAGCCCTGGGTGAGGGCAGCGATGCTTTGGGATGTTCAGGTTGTGAAACCACGTGGAGATCTGTGATTGAAAATGTTTCTGATCTGAATGCAGAGGTGCTTCTCTGGCAGACTCGTGACCCTGCAAAATGGGCTATGGTAAACGTACCTGGAGTGCTGAATGGAAGGGTACTGACTGCAGCATCTCTCCCTTTCTGCAGTGCTTACAACAATATTGTCTAGATAAGCCTCAGTAGCGCTGGAAATCTGTGTTTATATCAACCCATGAAACATGTTTTATATATCTCACAGAGATTAGTTCACAGAAGCACCCTATATAACTGATTCTAGTTGAAAACTTTACCAGATACATCTGACTTACCTCTCAGTGAGCAGGAGGGAAGAACAGGAAAAAGGGAAGCTTTTTTGTTACTGTTTTGCCTTTTGGCAGTCACTTGTTTTACTTAAGGTTTCTTTTTTGTCTCTTCTTTCTGATAGGCCTAGAAGATGTTGTAGCAATAATGATTCCTGAACCCAAAGGAAAAGAGATAGTTAGCCTCCTGGAGAGGAACATTACTGTGATGATGTACATAACCATTGGGACACGCAACTTGCAGAAGTATGTCAGCCGGACCTCTGTGGTGTTCGTCTCCATCTCCTTCATTGTGCTGATGATCATCTCTCTGGCATGGCTGGTCTTCTATTACATCCAGCGATTCCGCTACGCAAATGCCAGAGACAGAAATCAGGTGAGCGGTGCTGAATGGCTATTTGTGTTTCAAAAAAATCACCATGAGATCAGTTTACAAGTAAAAGTTGAGGAAATTGTGAGTGTGTGGTAAAATATCTAAACCAAAATGAAAAGCAAGGAAGTAAAAAGAATGGGGATAAAAAAATGCCTGTGTTTGGGAATAGCCAAGACTTCTGTCAATATAGGTGCAATTCAGGAAAAAATGAATGAATAAATATAATGTGTATGTATTATGGGGATTTTCTGTCATGCAGAACACACAAGAAATAGACAGAAATTTGATGTTTACTAGTGAAAAGATTGCCTTTATACCTAAGTGACATAGACTGTATATGGCTAATGACCATTGAGATCAAAATGATGGCTAAAATATAGTGAGGTATGTAAATGTCTGTGTGTGAAACAAGGGTTCACAATAGAAGAAGAAATTAAAAACGAATAGTGTTTTAATTTTAATACTTCAGAAAAGTCTTGGGCTTGAAAGGCAACATGTCCCTGTTCTGACAATGATATGTAAATGCTGTAGTGATAGCCACCTGTATTATTAAACTATTGTTTTTTGTTTTGGCGTCTTGTCCAAACCCCTTGAAAAAGGTACAAAACCTGTAGAGCTGGAGAGAAGTCAACAGCAGTGGGAATGAGCCCTAGGTCCTGAGGCACTCTGCATTTATAAGGCATTGTGCATCTTTATGGTAGTTCAGCAATGAATAATAATAGCAATAATAATAATAAATTTAATCTTTTCTTGTCTGGATGCAACTATCTCGGCATCAGCAGACCTGTGAAGCTGAGGCTTCTACATTTCATTCTAATGATGCAGTATAAAATGTTCTCAGTGTATGAAATCTGAGGAGATAGCCACCTTACTGCAGGGAAAAAATGCACTGTAATTCCGAGATGTTTCTGGACCCTTAATAAATTACTGTCAGGGTAGGCGACAGTGGCCTTGCTTGCTCTGCAGAAAAAGTAAAACTGAGAGTGTTAATAATCATCTTGTGAAGTATTGTGACACACTTTGCAATATATACTTAACTTATAGGGATCCCTCCCTCTCCCCTACTAAAACTCAGGCATCCTCTGAGATAGAGATGAGCTGCTCTGTATTTACAGACAGAAAGAATGTATTTTCCTTTAAATATACAGCATGAAATTTTGGATAGCAGGAATGAGACTGTCCCAGCTGGAATTTGAACATCACTGGCAGCAGATTCACTGTGACTGTGACGGCTGTGATAATTTTTAGATGCTTTGGCTGCAAAAGCACGTGTGCCTAATTTATGTATGTGAGTACCGTAAGTGTGCTTTCAATCAAGTAATTATACAGCAGATTAGCAGTGTAAATAGACATATGTAAACATGAAACCCAGCAAAATAAGTAGCTCATTCAGGTAATATGCTATAGTTTGGAACTGATGGGTTTACATGTTCAAGCAGCTTTCCTTTTCAGCATTTTCTTTCCAAAGTCTGAATGAGATTAACATGTGCACAAGCAGGTGTCCTCTGCATAGGTTTTAATAACTCTTATTATATTAGTTCTCTTCTTCAGAAGAATTACAAAGCAGGCCTCCTAAGCAATTATTTATTATTATTTTTTTGCCAAAGCTGTAATAATGATACGGGGCAAGCTAGAATTTCTCCATATATTTTCTCCATCCAGTTTTGCCTGACATCTCTTATCTCTTTATTAGCTCTTTTCATATGAAAAGCGGTAGCAATACACAGACAAAGCTCGACCATTTGTGTTAATGAGTTGCTATGGGTTTTTTTAATTTTGGTCCTAGCTATGGAATATAATAGTGTAGGTAGTTCAGAAGAGCTTATCTTCCTTTTGCCTTTTCCATGAGGGTTTCTCTGTTTCACTTTAAGTTCTGCTTGTTCACCTGTTTTCTTTAACAGGCTTTCTTATAGCAAAAGGATGGGATCACAAAGTTCTGTGTTAATATCTTGTATATTCAGATATATCCAAGACAAACTGTGTTGCTTTGCTGGAGCAGGATTTTTTTGTCACTGCGCTCAGAAGTTATTGCCATTATAACTTGCATGTGTCTGTATGAAGGTGTTGTGCTTACTTGTGGGAAAAGCCTTGCATGTGTTGTAAGCACCTTCCTTACTAGCCATCTTTAGGAAAGATGGCTTCCTTCTATTTATATTTGATGTACTCAGGCTAAGCCAAAGGCTGAAATGTTTGCATAAACAGAGCATCAGATGGAGGAGGAGTCAGCTTGTTCAGAGGAAGTTGTGCTATCAGTTCCTGTCCTGTAATGCGATAAACTCGTAACTCAGCAGAATGACTGCCCTGTTCTGAAAGTGCAAAAATCTGTGACTCATTTATCAGACTTCACTTAAAATTAAAAAAGAAAAAAAAGTATCTTAAATTCATTTTGACATCCAAGTGATAGAAAAGGATTGTGAGGGCCCAGGCTTTCTGTGTCTACCTATATCAACCTCTTAGTTTACCTCTGTCCTACATGCCCTTCCTGTGTTTGGCTGATACTGGAGTTGCCTCCAGGAGTATTTCAGCCTCCTCTGGATTGGTAATCTGGGCAATGTGCTGAGGGAATGGGACAGTGTGGCTGACTGCAAAATATGGGTGGCAGAAAAAGTTGTTACCTCCAAGAAGGAAGGCCATTGCACTGTTACGTGAAGGCAAGATTTCTGAACATCCTTCTTCAGTCACTCCAAGTCTCCCTAAGTCATCTTCTACTTTGCCTCTTCCAAGCTGACCCATTGCAACTATGTCTTCCTTTGATGGAAAGTGTCATGTGTTTTAACGGGCTTCATAACCACCTTTGCCTTCTTATCCTTTTTTAAATGGCGATCCTTATTTCCGGGTCCGCTTCCTTTCTTACGCACAGCATAAGTTGCTGATCAAGCCAGAAATTCAAAAGGAACTGATTTAATTATCCATCAGGAAAGCAATGAGTCCAGCAACTGAGAGCTAGAAAGACCGAAGAATCACCTGGAATCATTTCCTGTGACTCCCCAGTGAGATGAAACCTGGACATACAGCATGTACATCTTCAGCCACTGCTGTTCCTCACTATGTCTGCAAAATCCAGGTTCATGTGCCAGAAGGAAGACACAGCTCCCTCCAGTTAGGTGCCTGATTTTGAGCTCAGGATGTCAAAGGATTCTCACTGAACGCCCTGGCCCATTCATTCCAGCTTGGCTGGGAGTGAATGCAGCGGAGAACAAAACTGTCTTCCATTGTAGGCTTGTGCACGTACAGCCAAGGTATCAGCCACAGATATTGCTAGATTTCAATTTTTTAAGAGTATCTCTACCACAGACAAATCTACGGTACATGTGGAAGTAGAAGATATGTAGCAGTGTTCACAAGGATGAAAATCCAAGTTGTCCACTTTTTTCCCACCTAAGAAGGTGTCCAGGAAGTAGGTGGTAATCCTGATAATATGTCCTTTTGATCTAAAGAGGCTAAATTTGTGTAAGGAAAGCATAGCAATATGGCTCCTTAGTGGCTTGTTCCTGGAGCCCTCCTGAAGATGAGAGGGTTTCTCTGTGGAAAGACTGTAAGAATTGTTTGCATCAAGAGACACCAGCTTGCATTGCTTATTGGAAGCAGTTTGGAATTACATGACAAGCTAAGTCCTGGAGATAATTCAGAAAAATGTCACTTGCTGTCTCAGCCATGTAACAGCAGGACAGAGGCTGTAAGAAAAAAGCCCAACAAACAACAAAACAGTCCTGTCAGTGTGTCAGATTTCATATTTCACCAGTGATAGCAGAGTAGTAGAGTCCTTTTTGTTGTCTGTGAAACAGGAGATGGGAAGATGGTGAAGGGATGATGTTTAAGTGCCAGACATGTTGGCCGTATTTACTCTATGTTGTTTCTTCTCACTGGTTTCTTGTTAAGAAGTTTTCCATAGAGTTGTTTTGAAACCTGATGGGCTCTGTGAGCTTTGCAGGATAGTGAAAGCCAAAGCAGGCAGTGATTGCACCAGGGATGAGGAGAGTACTGTGTGTCCTGGGTTAATATCCGGTGAAGGGCCTACTTTAGTATGTGACTGGCAGCATGTGGAGGGTCGAGTAATTATCTGAGAAGGAAGACTGCTGGCTGGGGCTTTGAATGACAGGTTTGTGTCACTGAATAGAGACCTATCTTCAAAGCAGCCTGAGGAAGATGCTTCCCATGGTGGAGTCCATAAACTTTATCTGTGGTACAGGACGTGTGTCTGATGCCTCATCCCGATGGTACACTTTGTTCTGTGCAAGGTACAAGACAATCTTCTCCCTGCAAAGATGATAATTTAGTAAGGCCATTAAGAGAGAAGCAGTTACCATAATTTCTCTTCCATAGCATCTGTGGCCATTTGCTTCTTCAGAAACAGACCAGTGATGCTTTCCATGCTACTGGCCTTTCTTTTCAACCACCTCCAAAAGATCACTGTATCTGATATGCTTAACTCCTTCCAGTCCTGAGTGTTGCAGCCTTGCTAATGAGATTGACTAAGCCTTACTTTAAACCATTAAATTATTGTAACGCCTCTTATCTTTCAGGTGAAATCATGGGTTAGTGATAGCATGCCTTTCATTCAAATGGAAGAACCTTTTGAAAGTATGACTTTACTCCAAGATATTCCTGTTCTTTAAAAAACTAAATTATTCTCATTTATGTCTAAGTCATGAACTTGTCTATGTATGATAGATAAGAAAAAGCAAACATGAATACAACCAGATCAAAGATGTACATGAGTCTTTAATCTTGTCCTTTCCCCTTGAAGAATGTGTAAAAAAAAAAAAAGAACAGAGACATTTCATTAGTTTAAGTAATAATAATGATAAAACGGAATCACAAGCAATTCCTGAAGCAGGACATAATGGCTCTTGTCTTGCTGCATGTTATCAGTCTCTCTTTGATTTATATTAAAGAAACAAATAGCTAGCAAGAAATGTTTCCAAGTTCTCGTCTGATCCCTCTATCGAAGGGAGACCATGGGAAAAATGTATCACATAAAAAGATGTTGTATATCTACAAGATATACCCTCACATGTAATAATTAGTTCTGCTAGAAAGCTCGTATGTAAATCTCGTATGACAGCCAAGATCATTTTCACCTCTTTAACCAGATCTAGGATTGCTCTCTGCTTTCAGTATTGCATGCGTTTTGTCAGTCTTCCATGTCTTTCTGATCCAATAAGCTTACTCGCTAAATTTAATTCAGTGATTTTAATTGAATCTGAAGAACAAAGTGGTAATTTATTAATTGCATCTGTATGGTGATTAGCTCTCAATTTACAAACTATTTCCAGCTTCCTTCCATTTTTGGCTTCATGCTCTTAGGCTTCCCCTCCAGCTGGAAACCCTTGCTGCTGACAGGCCCCTCTGAACTCCAGCACAGGCAGTATTCCCAGCCCGAAAAGTTAAATGTCTCCGGAGTTACCAAAGCTCCCAAGTCTCTCTCTCATCTAACAACACATGGCTGGAAACGTGTATGGGAGAGGGGAAGTGAAGAATTCAGATCATTTCTTGGTGGCAAATTGGGATGGACAGTATTTTGTATGTTAAAAAACCTCAAAAACCTGTGGGAGTGGTTAAGCACTAGAACAAATTATCCACAGAGGTTGTGAAATCTCCCTTCCTGGACATAGTCAAAAGTTGACTGAACACAGCTCTGACTTTGAAGTCGGCCCAGCCTTGAGCAGGCAGTGGGAGTACATGACCTCTCAAAGACCTTTCCAGCCTGTGAGACTGTCTTCAGATTGCCTCGCTTTTTGGTTAGCACAAGTGAGCAGCCAAGTTCTTGGAGCACTGATGCATGCACAAGCTCAACTACATAGCGTATAGGGGTAGCTCTGCTTAGCCATGATTGTATGAACTGCCCCACAGTGTTCTTAGACTTTTGGAAAAGGCACGCATCTCCATCTTCAGCGTTGGCAAGGAGGGTGTTTTGCGTCAGGCTGCGGTTACATACTTTAGTCCTGAGTGGCTGTGACCCTGCCAGCACAGTATTTTGGAAATAGGGGGGAACAGTCAGAAATACCACATGGTAAGCAATTCATGGCCTGCTGGAGGGAAAGACAGAAAGGCAAAGAACAAGCAAATGGTTAGGTATGGATATGATGTCACTGCAGGACTGTGTAGTGCTTTACCTGTAAGAAAAGGCATATGCTTTTGCCTCATTTTTATAGCATGGAAGCTATAAAGCTCCTATAATGTAGGCAACTGTATTGCAGGAGGAGAGAACAGCAGAGAATGGGGTTTGTGGTTAACAAATTAACAGCTCACTGAAACAACTGGAACTGGAACAACTTACAAATAAAGACCTGAATCTTAAGTCCTGTGTTCACTCTATTTAGTACCCCAGGCATTCATTTAATAATGTATTTTTTACAAATGTCATTAGAATAAGAGAGGGAAGAAGTGGGGTACATGAATAGTGGACTTGTTAGGTACATTGCTATTCACTGGGAGAGTGAGTAGCATCATGATGGGCTCATGTGCAGCCTCCACTGGAACTCTATTAAGACTAGCTTTGCCTCATCGTCCACTGGTTATCAGCGAGCCTGAAATACCTGCTGTGCCCTTACTGTGAATAGCAGTATGACTGACCTCATCTGTTTGTATTTACACAACACTGTCCTGTTTCATGAACAGTCAATTCAGATTATTAAGAAGCCTAGGGAGAAAAGGTGATTATTTTTGTGCTAAGAGATACTCTTTGCTAAAGAGCAAATTTTGTATTACAGCGCCGGCTTGGAGATGCTGCAAAGAAAGCAATCAGCAAGCTGCAAGTCAGAACAATCAGGAAAGGTGATAAGGTAATTTTTCAAATTGCTCATTACCAAATGAAATTCTGTGCTTAGGGTTCCTTCAGACCACTGGGACAATGAGAAAGAACAGGCATGGCAATTGCTTATTTAGCTACTGGGTGTCCTTCAGGCACGGCAAGGGGAGGGGTGGAGATGGAATACTGGTAAGCAGTTTATTGATGGAATGGAGTAGAGGGAGAAGGGGATTCTGTAAAGATGCAGGAAATCCTGAAAGTTAAAACATGCTAACTAAATCTGCATGCTTCATAGGGCACGTTTCCAGCTGGAAACACGTTGGAAAATCTGACTTGCTTGTCTTGAAATGCATTAGTGGATTTGCAGCATGCATCAGTGACAGTTTTACTTTGCCACATAGGCTCTTGAATGAAGAAATTAGCTGATAAAATCAAGAAAATGCAAATTATGAATGTTCTCTTTTGTAGGAAACTGAGCCAGACTTTGATAACTGTGCTGTTTGTATTGAAGGCTACAAGCCCAATGATGTTGTCAGAATTTTGCCTTGCAGGTAAGTTGAAGGTGCTCTTGATAGTCTCTCTACTTACAGACAGGCTCTGTTCTGACAGGGTCACACTGAGAGCTTGGGGAGAGATGGGCAAGTTTATAATTTTGATTTATATTATTATTTATTAATCGGGTGATAAAGATGTTTGAAATGCCTCTTTATTCAGCTTCAAGTGAAGTAGTATTAATGGTGGTGAGAACCTGAGTTTAGAGTGATAGTCAGAAATTGTGTCTGATCTTGACCTATTACAGGGTCTTCAGTAGGATTTTTAAACTAAAAGTTTTGTTTCTTCTCTTTTCCTCACTGGTTTTATATCAGTCCAGAATAAGTGCCTTAGAAGAATTTGCCCTGACTCCAAACTGAAACCTGGGCACAGCAGCCAGGGATAGAGCAGGCTTCTGCTCCCCATGGAGCTGCTTCTTTTGCTGTTCTGGGCCATGCCCAGGTGCTGAGAAAGGGATGACTTCTATAAAACAAAACAAAACAAGAAAAGAACCCAACCATTAAAAGAGATGTGCTGAGTAAAGCAAAGAGGGAATGTGACAAAGACCATGTTACCTATTGCTGCCATGAAAATACTCTCAGGCATGTGGGACATGGAGGTGACAAGAAGAGCTACTGGGCATGTTCTCTCTCTTTTCTTCCCTTCATGTGAATGTGACTTGTGCAGCACATAGAGTAATAGTGATATGACACAGGAGCACAGCTTTTTGCCACCTGTAACAGTTGTATTCATCTCTTTGTGCCACAGTAGTGTCATCTGTGAGGTGTTAGCTAATCAGGATTTCTCTAAGGATCAATTTCTTAGGAAGCTTCCTAGGAATAATTATTCCTCTAGGAGAACAAGAGCAAGTGTTTGATTTTCCTAGAAATATGAATCTCAAATGCTGTACATATAGAGCAGAAAATATTTTTTTTGTTTAATACTTTCTTCTGCTGCATGTTCACTGGCTTTAGAAACCAAAATATTTGTTTTTTTTCCTGCTATGTTGTTCCCTAGTAGATACTCAAGTATTACAAGCCATCCATTTCTGTTCGTTCATGTGACTCATTAAATCTGTTTACAGCCATCACTAAATGGCAAACTGAAAGCAACAGATTCATCATAGATTTGACCTACTGTAAATCCCCCACAATGACAAATGCATGTGAACTTTTTTTTTTTCTTTCTACAAACAGACACAAATGCATCACTTGATGAGGCAAAAATACAGAAAAATGAGAAATTACCAGAAAATGTGGACTTTGGTTTGACATCAAGACTGTTTTCAGAGAAGCATAATAAAGGTTGAAAATTTTGTATGATAGAGACAGTCAGTTTTTGGAGGTAGTTACACAACAGCAAAAAATACGTCTAGGCTGTAGCTTTCACTTGTGTCTCGCCTCCTAATTCAATGAGGCTGCAGTCAGACTGTCATCCACAGTGTTGAGTCAAACAGAGTGAATAGGAAACACATAGTTAACAGGTGATGTTCAGCTCTTGGCTGACTTAAAAGGTCGCCTAGAAAATGACTCATGCTAAAAGGGTAGCAGCGGCAGAACTGTCTGGTAAAATACTCACAGTTTGAGCCTCAGCAATTTTGAATTATAAAAACTCAAAGATTTTTCTCAAGCAGCTATTTCACAAACCCTGGCTTTTCTGCTACATAAATTGTGAGGGCAGTATTTTACACATTCACATGGGTTTGGACTTCCAAGATAGGAAATCGTAGTCATGATTCCTTCTGCTGTTGCCAGTCTCATCTCCTCATCCAAAAAAAAAAAAAATGGGGGGGGGGGAAGGGAAATATTAATTTTTGTCTCTGTTAAGTGAGTAGGAGAGTGTTAAAGACCTACAAACTCTGTAGGTTTCTTCCTCCAGCATCCTCAGTTAAACTGTGTGCTGTTTCTAGTATGGGAACTCATTAGACTGTTGTTTAATAAGAAGCTGGCATTTCACCAAGCCTTACAGAAGCCAGCACAGTATGACACCAGTGCTGGCTGACCTTTGTGTTTCTATACAGGGGGTGCTCAAGATGTAGAACTTTTTATCTGCAAAGCCAAATATTCCCCAAGAGCTGCACATGAAATATGCTGCTTTGTACTGCATACAATACTGCATACTGTACTTTGGAAAACCTGCTAGCAGGCACACTCTGTTACAAAGCTCTGTATATCTTAAGATCTCTTTTTAAGGCTGGTGGAGCCTGAATCTCCTAAGAAATTGGTACCAAAAGCCCACCAGCCAGTATTGCAGTGGATGAGCTCTGAAGCCATATAGATAGATGGTTACTGTACTTGTGCTGTTTCCCCTAATGTCCTCTCTTTTCCGCTGGCAGAGAGATGGCACTGGGATAGCCTGTTGTTACGTATTCCACTCTGGAGAGCTAGGAGAATTCCAGTTAACTTGTGCTTCTTCCTCTCTGCCCTCTTTAGCCAGCTCTCACCACTGACTGTATCAATAAACTTCACTCTACAGCATGTATTAAATAAATAAGTACTGACACTTGATTTTTAAAAAAGTGTTGGCTTACAGCTGTTTTTATGTTTAATGGTAGCAAGCATCACTGAAGTTATCTTCGAGGGCACTGACACAACATCAAATGTAACCAAGTTCATTGTTCCCAGAGTGATATCTCTTGTCATAGCCCTAGTTCCTTCTCCTTGTCCTCCATCTCTAGCTTCAAAACGCCTCTGTCTTTTCTGCTCTGGCTTTGGAGAAGTTGCTAGTGCTGGTGCTCCAATTGTGTGCCTTTTACTGAACATTTACTAAACTTCTACAGGGAGCAAACCAGTTCTTTCAACCTCATCTCTACTGAGTTCTTCATAAGCTCTTTTTTTTGTTGTTTCATTTCTGTCACCAATAAACACACTTTCTAACCATTCCAGCTCACGCCCTTCCTCTAAACCTTCTCCCCATGAACAACTATGATTTCAGAAACTGCTTCAGTCATCAGGCTCGTTCTCAGTCCTCCCGTGAAAATTATTTCATCACATTCTTCCCTTTGATTCCTTCCATTCATTTACCCTCATCATCATCTTTTGTCCTTCCTTCTTCTTCAAAAATAAACAAATAATACTGTACATGAACCCTCAAAAGCTCTCAAATCTTCTAATTGAATACTACAGGGCTGCTCACCAAAACCCTTCTCAATCCTCTGCTTCAGCCCTATCTCTGGTCCAGGCATGATGCTGTTACTCAGGGTCCTTAGGGATGTACCTCTCTTTCTGCTTTTGTCTCCTTTTCTCTTAGCTCACGCTTTGAGAAAAATGACATGACTACTAGGTTTGTTTGCATGCAGTTTGGAAAGGTAGGACTAGGAGTAGGAGGTGGGAAGAGAACAGTTAAGTTTCCCTTAACTTGGAAAAAAAGCTCCTCAGAACTGTTGGCAATCTGAAAGCTTTACAATAGTTTTACAACGATCGTATTAGTAGTATAATTTTGCGATTAGCCTGAAATTGTTTTTTTTTTTTCTTGTATGATTAAAATTGCAGCTTTACAGAAAATTTAAGTACATTTCAAACAAAAGTAATGTCCAGTTCAGAAATACAAAGTGCTGTTGTGTTAATAGTAAATGAAATGCGCTGGGACTTTGAGGTTCTTTTCCTTTCTTTGTGCTCTGTGAGCTTTACTCAGGCACATGCAGTCACAGAGGAACGCAGGAGGGATCCCAGGAGGCCACCACCACCTCTGGAACAGCACAGGGACACTGTCCATGTTGTTCTTGGGAGTTTTTTCCAACACACTCTGCAGTCCCCTGGGATGAAGACTCTGCAGTTCCCCTGATAATTTATTGCAGTGCTTCACTACCCTGACTGTGGTGAAGCTTTTCCTGTTGTGTAACCTGGGTCTCACTTGCTGCACTTTAAACACATCATTTCATCTCTTATCCCTAGGAGAGCTGAAGAACAGTTGTTTCCTTTCTCTTTATGAAAGCCTTTGTTTTGTATGAGGATTGTTACGAGATCTCCTCTCCTCTCGCCTTCCTCTCAACTAATCAAGTACAGTTCTTTTGAGAAACTTTTCAACCCATCCAAATGAACATAGTTTTGCAATGCCTGTGGTTGCACACATTTTTTTATTAGCTCTGACTCTGATTGTCAAAGCCATGTCAGGAGCCTGTACTTGAAATATCTCTCTTACTCTCTCCCTGTATGGGTCTTTACTTCTGAACTCATCCATGGTGCTTCTACCCTTTCTTTTCTTCTAAAACCCTTCTCTTTTAAAACAGTTTTTCTTTTAAAACCATCAGAACTTCAGAAGAAGAGGGATTTTTCTTTCTATTGATCTTTTTACATCATTGTCTTACCATGTGACAGTGAAATATTGCAGTTGCTCTCATCTTACTTTGGGCTGACCCTTGTTTTGCCTTAATTTGGATGATAAACTTATCAGGCTTATTTGTCAGAATAAAATAAGCTTTCAGATCCAAGTTTGCAAAGCCTGCCACTTCACTTCTCTGCACAAATGTTTACATGTTCAAAATTAGTTATTATGAGTCCTCTACTCATATAATGTGGTACAAAAATTAAAAAATTCAAATCTATCTGATTTTTATAACATTCCATTTCCCCATAAATTTGTGTCAAATAGTCAAGTTCTGTTGTGCATGTTAAATCTGAAATTAACAGAGCCATACTACACTGTGCTGATTTAGTATTGAGAAGTGCAAAGTGACATGATCTGTCATGTATTTAAATGGTAGGATTTATTTTAGATTATTAGTTTTTGAAGCCAGCTTCACATACGCTAAACTTCAGTTTTTCAAGTCTTTAGGGCTTGTTCCAAGCTTTTGGTGATTAACAGACATTATGAAGTGCTGTAATATGAACCACAGCTTCACTGAGGCTTACAAAGCTTGAACTGGAAAACAAAAGGAGGCTTTCTAGTCTATGGTAAAATTGCTTGGTAGAAGTTACTTTTGTTGTTTTGGGTTCTTTTAATCCAAAACAGATTTTGGAAATCTCTTTGGTTTTTGGTGTGGGATTTTTTATTTTTTTTTTTATTTTTCCAAGAGAATAATAAATATTTTAGATTTTGTAAATGTACTGATTATTTTGGTACAAACATGCTTCAGATGTTTGCCATTAAGCATATTTTTTTATGGATTTCAGTATACAATTAAAGAAAACCAATCACTATCAAGAATCTCATCATTATTCCAAATAGCTGAAAAACACGATGTTGACTTTCAGTACCCTCCATGAATTAACATACCCAAGGAATTCTGTTGATTAGACTTATAAATGTAAAATTACACATGCTTGAGGACTGTACTTTTTTGTTTTCTCCTATTCAGGCTGCTTGCCCTATGATGGGCTGAGTATGTCCCTCCTGAGATGACAGAAATGAAGAGTTACACAGGAGAGACAACAAAATTTGGTGCATTGTGTTTTTATCCATTAAGGCAAATTCTGTTTGGAAGGAGGGTTGTGAACTTTCATGGCCTTAGTAGAGTGGTTTAAACTTCACGTATCACAACGCTTCATTTGCATTCATCATGTTGACATACAGGATCAGATGAGGTTTAACAAAGTTTGGTATTGCAGCCAACTGATATAATTAGACTAGGCTGAACTTCCAAGAACATAGTTGCCCTTTGCCAGTAGTTGTACAAAGTCAGGCCAAGTACAGGAATGCAATAATTTGCCATATAGCTTTGTTTCACAAAGCACCCATTTCATCTAGAAGTAGTGAGAAAAAACATTTAAAAGAATAAGACGCTGAGTTCACACAGTTTTGGCTTTGAATTTCTACTGTTATTTAGGCCTGAAGCCAGCTATTACACCAGCCAGCTACTATGCCGGCTGATACCATGTTAGTAAGAGTCAGGGTTACAAATAGATAGAGGTGAAAGTACACCTCAATATCTTAGATAAAGTTGAAAGCCCATGCGTGCCTTGTGTGAGAGAGGCTGGGGCACAATACAGCAGCCAGCCCATTCAGCTGAATACGTACCATGTAAATATTTAAAATTGGTGTATTAAGTGATTCTGGCTTTCTCAGAGATTGTATGTCATTGTGGAGGCTGGTGTGTGCTCCAGGTGGAGCCTTAGAATCACAGAATCATTTAGATTGGAAAAGACCTTTAAGATCATCAAGTCCATCCATCGCTGCCAAGTCTTATTAAACTATGTCACTGGGACGGTGACTCAGCCACTTCCCTGGGCAGCCTGTTCTAATGCTTGACAACCCTTCCAATGAAGAAACTTTTCCCAACAGCCTATCTAAACCTACCCTTATGCAACTTAAGGCCATTTCATTGTGTCCTGTCACTTCTTACTTGAAAAGAAACCAATACCCACCTCACTACAACCTCCTTTCAGGTAGAGGTTATCTGAGAGAGTAATAAGGTCTCCTTTTCTCCAGACTAAACAACCCCAGTTCCCTCAGCTGTTCCTCATAAGGCTTGTTTTCCAGACCCTTCACCAGCTTTGTTGCCCTTCTCTGGACCCACTCCAGCACCTCAATATGTCTCTTGTACTGAGGGGCCCACAACTGAGCACAGTATCCGAGATGCAGCCTCACCAGTGCTGAGCACAGGGGGGCAATTCTCTGGCCCTGCTGGCCACACTGGTTCAAATACCAGCCAGGATGCTGTTTGCCGCCTTGGCCATCTGGGCACACTGCTGGCTAATATTCAGTTGTTGACCAACACCCCAAGGTCATTTTCCACCAGGCAGCTTCTCAGCCACTTTTCCCTAAGACTGTAGTAGTGTTGCATGGGGTTGTTGTGACCCAAGGGCAAGATCTGGCACTGAACCTTGTTGAACCTCACACAGTTGTCCTTGGGCAGCTGTGAGCCTGTGGTTACCTGGTGGGTTTGTGTGGCTGTGCTCTATGGGTGATGCGCTTGGGACAGTAGCAACAAGGGGAAGCCAGGTGGGGGACTGCACAGATCTAAAAGTTCAAGCGGAATGTAAAACTTCAAGAAGACTGAAAGGAGACTTTCAGGCTCTGCCAAGTAAAATATGTGACACCTGTTGCATGCCTTAGAAAGAAAATCTTTCTAGAGCTGATCTAGATTGGTGTGTCAAAACAAGCAAATTAGTTTTAATTTGTGCCTTTTAGAGCAAGACTGATATCGAGCCTCATATTTCAGAATAAGATACCTTCTTTCAATTTTGCTTAAGTTGTTGTTACTAAGTTATATTAGACAGTTGAACTAAGGCTCTTTCCAAGTGAATTATTCTATTCTAACTGATTAAAAAGGAGTTTTAGGTAGGCAAGTCAATTTTCAGTTTCCTAAATGCCAGTGTAATTTCTGAGGCAGTGTGCATGGTGGGAAATATTGCTCTTTTTCTTCGGAGGAAGTGTTGCTGAACAAACTTCACGGCCTTGGGCTGAGCCCCTTCTCCTCTACTTGACCTACTCAACAGCATTTCTTAGATCATGAGCCCCACATTCCTGCATTTTATAATATTTGTTCTCTGAAGCCACAGAGTATGCTCACAAGAGAAAATACATCTGTCAGTCAGGTACACACACTAAATATCTCTATATTCTATCTTAGTTTGTGTCAGGCAAAGCTAGACAAGAAGCTTTCTGATCCTGCACCTGAATAATGTCTAAGTGGCCCTCAGCAGCCATAGGATTTAGGAGGTTGCTTAGTGGTCATTTCAGACTGAGCACAGGATTAGCACTGACCCCTTCAGGGCTGGAATTGTTTAGGAGCTCTCTCTGATGGGTAACTTCTAAAGAGCACAAAGTCAGAGAGAATGTTTTAAAAAATATCATCCTGTTTTTTCTATTTAAATGAAAAGTAGATTTTTTTTCTTAATTCACTTTCTTTCCTGCATTGTAAGAAATACCTAATCCCCTATGGCTTCACATTTAAATTATGTGTAATCAGGTTTGTCTGCAGAGCCATCAAGACGTAGTAATGCAATTTTTACCTTTACCATCAAGCAGGTTTTGTCTCCTGACCTTTAACGTTTAAAGAACATGGGTTTTGCTGATGCATTTTCTGTGGTTTTTTTAATTCCCCAATTATGTATGTATGTGCTCTTCATGTGCTTGAGATGCTACAGAAATATTTTCAGGTTTGTGTGCATATTATGTAGTTTTGCTGTCCTTGCAGAGGTCACAAACCACACCATTTTAAATACTTTCACTTCACTGAATTCAGAAGTGTCTGGTACTAGGTGATAAATTGTGCTGTGGTGGATTCAAATTAAAATGTCCTGGTTTTCATTGCAGGCATCTTTTCCACAAGTCCTGCGTAGACCCCTGGCTGCTAGACCATCGTACCTGCCCGATGTGTAAAATGAATATTCTAAAAGCTCTAGGGATCCCGGTAAGCACATCACAGGGCAGCTGGTCAGGGCAGGAGGAAAATACCAGCTACTTGGATATATCCTTAGCCCTTTGCCTGTCTGTTCCCATCCTTCTCTTCTTGCCATGTTAGTGATTTATTAAGGGGAGTACAAGCTGAAATGTCTGGTTCTACCTCTCTTCTTCACACCATTTTGATTAGCAAGGAAGAGCCTGTATATGGGGGTTGGTTGGATGTTGGGATTTGTGTGTTTGTGGTTGCCTGCTTTGTGGAGCAGAGGATTGTTTACTGGTGTTTGGTGGATTTATAGGTTCTTTCACATAGCTTTTGTTTGTGTTTTAAATCAGGACTGGATTTTGTTTTTTAATCATGCTCTTGGTTCAAATCTCAAAGCAGAAGGTCTGCAAGTAAAATTTTTCCTGCTATATTAGTTGAGGACAATTAATTGCTTATTCTGGGGAGCAAAATCTTTTCTTTCTCTCAGATTTCTCTTAAAGTCTATCTCTAGCAATCTCTGTACTCCCAATTAGGAAGCATTTCTCCCAGCAACTAACCATATGACATAAAAGAAATTATTAAGCTCTTTGTTATTTGGAACATTCAGATGTGATTAGAAGCTGCCAAAGGAATTGATCTTTTTAGGTTGCATGTTTACATTCAGATAGTGTGTTTCCTGTCTGCCATACAGTTTCCTAGCCACAGCTATCACAGAGATGACGGACTTCACCAGGAAGAAATGAGTCACTTTCTCACACTGTGCAAGGCTTGCCATGTGAGAGTGAAGTTCAGTACTCCAACACCATAGGCTGATGCATTAACAGGTGCTGTAAATACCCTCCCCAGTTACAGATGGTAACATGCTCGCTAACATATGAAAGAGCTATATAAAGTAACATAGCTCATGTGAACATACCAGGGGAGCTGATACAGCCATTCTCCAAGAGTTCATTTTCATGGAGACTGGGAAGCCAAGCAGGTTGCTGCAGAAGAGTTTCCACAGCAAGTGATGAAGTATGTTTTTACTGAAGTAGGCAGATATGTTAATCAATCTAATACAAACTAAGATAAAAACTTTAAATGGGAAAAACGAAGTATTGTAGTTAGGATAACATGTTATTACAGTTGGGCTACTTTTTTTCTACTAAGCCATGTGTATTTGTCTTTAAAATGTTAAAAGATGATACAACTGTTAGATCAGTGCTTGAGATGTCAGGAAAAAAAAACAGAAGGAAGGCTGCCTCTGCCATTCATCTCTGCATGTAAATTAATACAGAAATTTTTCCCCAGGTTCCATGTCTCAGTTCACAGTCCTGCCAATGAGCAGTTACGCAGGATTTTGACACTTCTGTACCCAGTGTAGTGTTCCATGGCTTTCTTCTGAACCATACAGGACCTTATGATCTCTGTTCTCACACTGGTCCATTCACGTTTTTGCCTGAGCATTTCATTAACATGCTCTTCATCCAGCTGCATAGACGGGCGATATAAACAAAGCAGACCTCTACTTTCTGGAGGCCTGCAGTGAGATGTTAAGGTCTTCCCAGAAAGTTTAGTACCATTAGTATTTACATACTAATGTAAAGAGACCAGGATACATCTCTCACTGATTTCACTGGCAGCTGCTGGAGGCTAAATGTGTCCGCAGGCTATGTGAGGCTGGGTACATCAAGCGAAAAGGGCCAGAGGCCATGTGTAAGGGTTTTGGTTTATGTGACTGATTCTTACTACTCGTGAACAGCTCTGTGGTGGCAGGTATAGAACTTAATTGCCAGGAATAACTAAAAATGGCATTCAATTTCCTCAGCCATCATTTCTCTTCTCACAGCTCCATCTAGTTTTCCCTGTACTGCTTAACAGAAGGGGGTCCATCCTGCTCCCTTCGCTAAGAGCTTTCCACATGGAGCTTTTGTGGAAATAATTGCACTGGGCATGTAATAAGAAAATTTTAAAAAACCAAACCAAATTACTGCTGAAACCCACATGAACAACTGGGTCACAGTAAGATTTCAGAATCCGCCTCAGTGCTGGTCTCAAAGTCAAGTGCTTGAATTTAATGTTCCACTAGCAACCTCTGTTTAGAGGGTTTTATTGTATGAATTTCTGTTAAAAATTCCTTAGGTTGTTCTAAGAAAATAAACTGAAAACAGCCCGCATGTTTATGTGGGAGCATACTGGCTCCCACCCACATGGCTCATCAATTAGGTTTATAAAGGGAGAGCTGCACGCTAGAGCCTTACCCCTCAAGGTGACTTACAGTAGGAGATGTTGTCCATGGAAGCTGGGTGCAGATGGTAACCTTCATGTCAAGGCTTTCCTCTAGCTGACAGCAGAGGAAGTGGGAGTCTAAGAGCATCAGATAGATTGGGGGTTAAAAATTCCTATACAGCTACCAGTTGCTTCTCTTCCTTTGCTTGCTCTGCCTTCTCTTTCTAAACTATGCCTCAATTCCTGCTCCTCCTCTTTTCCCCTCCAGTTGCCTTTCCTGCTTCTTTGTGTAACCTCTCCTGCCCAACCTTTATCCTTTGTAGTTCCTGCCCTGGTGTCAAAGCTCATTCTCCCTGCTCATCTCTCAGGACCTTTTCTCCACCTGCACAGAAATTGGGCATCCTCACCCTTCCCATTGCTTGGCACCAGCTGAGGGCACCCCATTGTGGGCATCAGTCCTGTGGGGTGCTCTCTTGTGCTACCATAAGATTGCAGGCACCATGCAAAGCCCAGTTCTCTTTGGAGAGTGTAGTTTTTGGTCCTGAATAACATACCCGCCTCTATCAGTACATGTGAACTGATAATTTCAAAGGCTCGTAACTTAGCCAGATGTCAGTAGGCTGTTGTGGCAAAAGACGTTTCCCTGGAAGAAGCTGTAAAGCTCTAGGGCTTCTCAGTGAGAGGTGGCAAACATTTCTGTAGAGTGCATAAAGCAAAATGCCATTCCCTAACCACATTCTTGAGGCTCACTGAGCCATCTTAGCTGAAACTTCACACACAGAAAAGCAGCCTTAGGCAGGCAGCAGTCTCTGATGGGAGACTTGAGAGCAAATTTGCCGAAGTCCTTTTGCAGGCTTTTACAATGGGAGGAATGAGGAAATCTTACCATAGGTAGAGCTAATGTGCTGGGTTTTTTTCCTGCCAGCTGCATGTTTGTCCTATGGTTGTTATTAAAGTGCTGGTTTGCGTGACTGGATATATTGTGCTTCATTTAGCATCAATACTCAGGATTTTCCAGGAAACAATTGGTTAAAACCCAAATATCTAAATGTTTCAATTCACTTCACATCTAAACTCCCCATTTATTTTGTAGCAGAGACTTCAAACATTATCTTCGCTAGAACCAAATTCCCCAGGCTGCACTCATTTTCACGGTAGCTGAGCACCCTAACATCTCTGCTTTTCACCATGGCACTCTGTAGCTCCAGAGGGCTATTAACTAACTATCCATCAGCAAATGGTTGGCGTAACGTTTTCCGCTGACTCTTTGCTGGTGAATCCAGCTCAGACTGTACCTCATTTGGCTGTAATATTTGAAGTGAATTATCAGTGAAAGTGTCTTTCACTTTCAGAGACCTACATTGCTATTGGGATGATCATGTCATATAAAATAGTTTCGCCTGCTTCTCCCCCTTGTCTGCAAATATCTGCTGGATATGCAGACAGCTGCATTTTTGGCAGCTGACTGGATGACTTGAAGCTATTCACTAAGAGCCTTAGCCAAGCCCTCAGAAGTCAATACAAAGCCTTCCCTTGACTTTAGTGGAATTGTGCCCTCAAAGCACTTACATGCAGGGAATGAGTGAAACCAATATAATTAAACTTAGCAAATGTATCTGGGTCACTCTGGCAGCAAAAGCTATAATGTATTTTTTTTTATCAGTATTTCGTATCATTAGTTTTATAGTATGCTGCTCAGTTTGGGGTACTTTTTTCCAACTAAAATGATTCAGGAGTAAGGGATTATTTATATCGAGCAATGCTGTTTTTGCATCTTTAATGTTTGTTTTGTTTTCAATTGTAATTCCCTGTTTTAAAAGGTTTGAAAGTTAGTGATAAAACCACATTCTAGGAATAATCGGGACCAGAGCAAAGGACAGGAAACTGATGCCCTGAAAAAAAACTTTGAAATAGTTTTTCCTATAGTAGAGAAGAAAAAACAGACTTTTTTTTCCTTTAAGATACACTGCCATCAAAGCCAAAGTTAAAAATGAAAATCTGAAAGCATTTGTTATAACATCTAGGAGTGAGGGAAAGAGTGATAGATCTAAGGAATAATTTTGGATCTCAGTCTTACAGATGATTGTTATTTCACTTAGAAAAGTACAAGTTCAATCAGTTTCATTAAAACCTGGTGAAAAGCTGAATGTTCCTTCCTGAATGTTCTGAAGAGCTCTTGCTGCTCGTGAATTAGACTGGAGCCAGAATATGACAATTTTTTGTCAGAGAGGAAATATATGGGAAAAGGCAAGACATGCTAAGTTTCTGGTTCTGCAAAATATGTAAGCATATGGTAACCTATGCCTGAGTTCAAAGGGATTACTCTTGTGCTTAAAGCTAAGCATCTGTTTAAGTCTTTGCTGTATCATATTTTGCTTCATTTCTAGGTGCTTGCTGTTGGGGATAGGCAGGTAGTGAGATTTTCATAAATGCCTTAGCAAGTGAAACAACTAAGAATAGAAAAAATTATATCCACAGAGCAGAGTACATCTCCTCTGACTTGATCTATCCAGATGTTGGATTTCCAGACTAGCAGCTGAAGCCCGTCTCTGCTTAGTACTGAGCAGCAGGAAGGCAGAGGGGACAATTCATATCACTTACCTTAGGGTGGGATAATGACACAGTGAAATTGTTTCAAACCACTGAATTTAGAGGAAACCTCAGCGACCAGTCCAGATTAGCTGTCTGAATCCTGGAGAATAAAGACAAATGGAAGCAACTTAACTTTACATTTTCTAGCTTAGCAAGGTATCTGTGTAGTTGCAGCTCAACCTGGCTATGTCCCGCTGTCATTTTGGAAGCTTTGCACCCTGACACACAGCATCCTCATTTCTGCATCAGCCTTGGTTTTTTAAACTTCTAAATCCAGTTCTTGAAATAGTTATGCAAACAATTTTTCTCCATGCCCTGGGGAGAACTAGACCTGGTTCTGTGGGCAAATGGCACAAGAATCTGTTTCCTCTTAGAGGAAAAAGAGCTTTTTAGTCATATGTTTGTCCCCGATGTTTATGGGGAGCTCCACAGAAATCACTGCTGTATAAACGGGAGTATCAGGCATATGACAGGTACAGAGAAATCAAAGATAGGAACTAGTCTTGGACATAGTATCTTGGGACAAACAGTCCTCTTTGCTGCACTGTGCCCACTTGAAGCCTAGGTGTTCTTTATGAGTGCTCAGTGCTAAGGATACTGTACAACAGGTGGGCCCCACAAACCCCTCTCATTGCTTCCCTTAACTTGAAGATCTTGGCTCATGCTGGAGATGTCGGTGCATTCACTATGTAACTGCAAAAGAGAAGTGTCTAAATTCCCCAGAACTGGGTTCCATCCTTGCTCTCTCTGAACCACAAAGCAGGAAAAGCTATGGATCAAATGATACTCTTCAAATTCCCATTATTGCTTGTGTGTTTCTTTTCTCATAATTTTATTTTGTAGGAAATACAGCATTAGCAAAGGAAAAGATCTTTTGATGTTAAAAATCTTGTCTTATAAACAGCTTTAGCTTCTATTTTTGCACCCCACACATAGATGCGCCCACAGGCAGTTCTCTTGAATCCTTATTCCTGAGAGCTCTGTTACCAGCTCTATAAAATGTGTATTTATGGAAAAGATAATCATTCCCCTTCAGCTCCAATCTCTGTTTACATTTGTAATCTGACTCAGCAATCTGCCTGTGTTGAGCAGATCATGTCAATAAGTGAGTTAGTTCTTTAATGCGTATTCTTTCAAACCCTGTAAAAAGTATAAATAAGAATATTTCGAGATTATAGATGACACAGTTTAATACGGGATATTTCCAATGGATAGTTCAGATCTCTCTTCCAACATATTGTATTAAGTACATGAAAACAAATAAACTGAAAGTTTGTTCATCATATGTTGCCATTTTCAATACTGAAAGTGAAAAACCCTAAAGAAGTGGCAACAGGTAAATTAAATCTTTTTTATCAAGTAAAACCCAATTTTCTTATTTTTCTTCCCATTAGCCAAATGCAGATTGCATGGATGATATACCTCCAGACTTGGAAGCATCTATAGGAGGACCACCAACCAACCAGATAACGGGAGCCAGCGATATAACAGTGAACGAGAGCTCTGTAGCCCTGGATCCCCCAGTGCGGACTGTGGGAGTACTACAGGTCATCCAAGATGTAGACTCCTTTCCCCAGGCTGGGGAGGGTAACTTCACAACAAGCAGTAAGTTCCTCTTTCTGGCAGAATTTGCACTGAAATAAATGTTTAGAAACCCAAATCACAAACCCATCTCTAGTGCGGGGAAAGTAGCCTTTGAGGGCTTTTTCACTTGGAGCAGTGGCCTTACTTTAAGACTAGCGGAAATATACAGGGTAAGTAAATTTAAATACCATGTTCTGCTGTACTGCAAACACTTGCAGCCTGTGTGCAACTCAATGTGTTCAATAGCAAACTCTAATTAGAGTCCTCTGCATGGACAAAACAAGTTATTGTAGTCAACACAACACAATATAAACCTATGGTCATCTTCAGATACTTGTTGTATGTTCAGATAGCCCACCATGTATCACCTGTCTTCTGTGTGAAGCAGATTGGTACATGTCCTTTGGCCTGCCTTCTCTCACTGGGCTGCGTGTTACTGTGTGGAAGTTATTCTTACCGGCACATCATAAAATAAATAGTGAACACAGTGATCACTTTTAGTCAAGAAAAAAAGACTGTTTAATTCTGGTTTTGCTGTTCCTTTATCTTCTTCCATCAACAGAAGCTTGTCTGATTATTTGTTTATACTTGAGCTTCTCATTTCAGAAGGACTGATGGTCAGAGTTCCTGTACTTGAAAACCTAAGGGTAGTGAAATAATGCTAACAATTTAGGAAAAAAAAAAAAAGGAGAATTTGGGATGCTTTCAGTGTGTTTCGTTTTCTCTTGTTTAAGGGGCACCGTTTGAACCAGTAACTCAAAATGTCTGCATGACTCTGTTCCTAAAAATTATGTTCTTTCTTGAAAAATCTACTCTGACAGTTTAGAAAGAATGTTGTCAGCTGTTCTGAGTGAGGATTGTGCTAGTCTAAAATTCTTATTTTTACGTAAAATAGCAGATCAGTAGAAAGTAAATTTGTTTGATGCCGGTCAGTGTGTTAGTATTGACAAGGGTATTGTAGAAAATCATCAGATATACTTGAAAGGAGGTAGACAAAAATACAGGTTTGTGTATAGAGTCAGTGTGGGTCCTGGAAAAAATTACATATTTTCAACCATTTCTAGGTAATACTATGGGTCTGGGGAGTGAAAAAGAAGACAAGTAATAATATGATGTGTAAAAGGTAGGAGAGAGAGATGAGGGACCTAGGCTACAGTGGGTTTACATTAGTCTCCTTACTTCATGGAGAGACTTGATAATCACGTTTTTCCTCCTCTTGCAGCCAGTGCCGTGGCAGTGAAAATAGCTTGTGGAAACACTGGACTTGCAACCTTAGCTACAAGTGATGCAGAAGTGGATTTTTAAGTTCTCCCTTTGTGGATTAGGTGCTGGTTTCAGGTTTGGTTCTTTTATGGTCTAAGTCCTGGATCCAGCAAGGGGTGAGCAGGGTTGTAGGCCCATCCATGGTGAGCCCATCAACTGATGACATGCAACTTTCTCAAGCCTCATTGAGTGCTGGCAAGAGCTGTTCAAAATGAGATGTTATTTTGTTCCTTCCAGTAATTGTTTTTAAATTCATTTGAGGCTGATGTAAACCATGAAAGAAAGGTTTTTACTTCATGGTTCCACAGTGTAGCTAAAGAAGAGGCTAGATGCTGGTCTCAGCTGTACCCTCTTAACATTCCTGAAGTGAGCAACTCCTCTTTACACTCACAGCTGCATGCGCATGCTGAGAAGAGCCAGCAGCCTGGTGTGAAGCCCAGCCATAGGGGCAGTCCATGCTTTTCATCCCAGAATTTTGGCACACTGAGAAGCAGTTCTTCTGGTTTGTCATCAGGGGTAGCAATGGTGTGGAGGCAGCCAGGGCACACTAGAGCTCAGTAGCTCTCCAGATACTCCCTTCCCCTGCAGTTTTGTTTCCAGAGTCTGTGGAAGTCCAAACACATTTGTTCTTCGTTTTCCAAGTTGCCAGCTAAGTAACTGGGTCAAAAATTTGCTCTGAGCCAGCAGAGTACTGCAAGGACCTGCAATACTTTGTTTTTCCCCTTACCTTTAATAACATGGGCAATAGATGCTAAGACTGGGCAATCCTGAAGGCTGACAGCAGAGCCCATGGACTAGGAGCTCACACCAAGACCAGGGGTCTGCCTAGGCATATGGGTAATGAGGCAGCAAACCATAGAGCTTCAGGAGAGCCCATCACTTCAAAGAGGCTGGGCATTTGGTCTGGGGAAGGACTGTGAAAAGGGGTTTTCCCTGGTTATTTGAAAAAGAGGGAGATGAGAACAGGGAGGAGAAACTGGGAGATGGCCTGAGCTCAGCGAAGGTTGTGAACCTCATGCCATCACAGGGGTGACTTGTGACACACTGCTAAAAACAGACCTTTCCAGTTGTTTTGTGAGGAAAGAGGAGTCCTGAGGAAAGCTCAAAGTACCTTGGGAGGTTCCAAAACCTGGTGTGTGTCTGCCTATGCTGCACCTGTCACACACCGTCACTCAGAGGACTCTAGTTTTAATGTATGGTTAGCAGTTGTCACTCATCCATTATTGATAGACATGAATCTTAATCTGGTTTTCTCATCTCAGTGAGAGAAATACTTGAATATTAGTGGTGGGTATGCAAGTTTACATGCTGTCATCACCACTCATCACCATATCCAAAGTGGTGCAATTTGCAGTATTTCCCAGAAACAGAGCATTTCGGTCCTTTCTTGCAGCAGAGTTGCAGCAAATAAGATGTCTTTAGTTGAAAGTTAGGGGCCGAGTTCCAGCAGTGATGGGAATTTGTCCCTCCAGCTACCTTATGTGGATTTGAGGGATTCAGACACTCCGAAAGATAGAACTTAGCACCTTAGGCAGCCTGAACTTTTAAGCCAGTGGAAAGGGAACATCAGATAGCAACTCTAGGTTAAATAACCGGTTCATAGCTGTCATATAGATGGGGCTTCATGGGTATTGTGGTACTGTTTATTGTGTTCAGGCACTGCATTTCTCATTTCCAGAATCCTCACAGTTACACAACTGCAGAGCATGCTGAGCGTGCCCTTTCTGTGAACTAGCCTGCCTGGGAATTTGTAGGCGATGACGCTGACTGCTTCTAGGAATCTTTGCTGAAGTTGCTAGGTTCTGGCCTCTTTATATAGCATTAGTGATGGGAGCAGACTCCAAGGCTGACTCTGCACTGGAAGTTTTTCTTCCTCTTGTTATTGAATCTGTGCAGACTACCTCCAATGCAGTCTTGACGTGGCACCCTGTACTCAGCATCCTTCTGTGTTCCTGGCAAAGTTCAGTAGTCCAGAAAGTAAAGGACTCAGCTTCTTCTTTCCACCCCCTTCAACAATACTTTGCTTAATTGTTGCGTCCTCTTTGTTTGCTGATTAATCATTCTGGCATTGTCTTGCTTTGGGTTTAATTTTGTTTTCTGTGTTTCCAGTGAGTATTCAGAGCCAGAAGAGCTCCCACAGTGTGTCTGGAGGGAAGATATTTCCAGAGTACTGTTCACATTGGGTGAAATTCCATCTCCATTGAAATCTGGTGGCAAAGCTCCCACCTACTTCAGTGGGGTCAGATTTTCATTTCTGGAACTTGGCCAGTGCTTTTCTTCTTATTTCTGTGTGTGTGCTCAGCAGACATTTCTTCTACTCTCCCTCCATTTTTCTCCCCATGCTCCTGACTCGATAACGTCCTCCATGGAACCCTGGACAACATAGTGTATTATGAACATCTGGATGGAACTTTGTTTGGGGGCCCATCCCTAGGGTTCCTTGCTAAACCAAATACATTCTGAGTAGAACTGAGCACTTAAAAATGGACCGTCAGTTTCTCTGAGCTGGCTTCTACCAATATCCAAGCCTTCATCAAGTCCCTTGGGCACATCTGCAGCCTGAAGTCTTCAGTATTTAGTCTTAGTGACTACTCTCTGTGGTGGGATTTTGTGCAGGATCCTGGTATAGTATCTTGTAATATGATATTTCTGAAATCAGTTGATGAAAATGGATGGAAAAATTGAAAAACTGGAGTTAGAAAAAAAATGTGTGAAATACATGAAAGTTCATCTCAGCTAAGTTTCCTGCTTTAATCCTATTAGTTTTCAGCTGTCTAGAAGGTATGAAAGACGATAAGCTAAGGATCTTTTCCCACAATAATAGCAATCTGTTGCCTAATATTTAGTAGCGAGTTACACAAAATGCTAACATCTTTAGAAATTTCAGCACAGGTGGAGTTTCCTGCTGTGCAGGTGATGTGAGTGCGAGCTGGTCTTGGCTAAGATCTGAATGTGGAGAAGCTCTAAGCTATACCAGATTTGGAGGAGTGGAAAGGGGATTTGGGATTTCAGGAGGACATTCTTTGCGTCACACTCAGCTGGGATTGAATGATAAGGTTAAGAAAGCTAGTTCGCTGGGAAAGTAGCATCCAGGTATTTTAAAGGTTGTATGGTGACACTTGCAAGGGAAAATGGTTTTCATCTTTAATAGCATCTATGGTTATCCATCTCCCTCAACCTGTGAGGCACTTGCAAATAGATAATGTGCACTGCCTGAGTCTTTGCTCTCTATTGGTGAATACCTCTAGGTTTTCAGTTTAGACAAGCTTTTTTCTTCTCTTCAGTGGGATGTCTCGTCACACTGCATAAGGCCTCAGAAATCCCCCCAGCACTGTCTCTGTGCTTGGAGGAAGATCCATAAATAATTTACTGCAAATATGCACAGGAGTTCCAGTATGAAAACCCACAAACTCTCTCCCAGGGTGCCATGGCACCTGCAAAGTCCACCAAGTTTGGCGGGCTGTGCAACAGTGTGGGCAGTCTACAGAGTACTGGCAGTTCTTTTTCTGTCTCTCATTTTGTTCTTATCATAAAACCCTTTCAACATATAGCTCATCATGACTGTGAGGACACTTTCAAGTCTCTTTGATAGCTCTTCATTAAATCTATTAATACAACTTCTTAAGTAATTGTTATGATCTGCATATGTCTAAAATGTCTTTGTGAAGAATAATCAGCCTTTGGAAGTGGATGAAAGTGCATGGTAAGAATCTGACAGACTGTTGTCTTGCAACCACTTGACTGTTCCTTCTTGCTAT